TACCCCGAAATTTCAAAAGGGTTTAAAAAAAAAAAAAAAAAAAAAAAAGATATTGTCATACTTAAGCTGATACCTCTGCGTTATTGTCAGGCTGTTGACGCATCCAAAAAATGTTAACGGATCATACTTAAGCTGCTACCTCTGCGTTATTGTCAAGTTGTTGACGCATCCAAAAAATGTTAACGGTTTAATAAAACAACAACAATCACAACCAATTCATCTGATCTTTAAGATCTCTCTAAAAAATATTAAAATGCCTAAACCTTACTCCATAAAAACATATTAAAATACACACATTTAAATAGTGGATGTAGACATACTACACAGGGGGTCAGGCGAGGAAAACGGTGTCAATCGGACGTACATTCACCCATCACACTCTCACACAGTCTCTCTTTCTGTCAGTCTGTCTTTTAGAACATTTAAATTAAAAAAAAAACCCCAAATGTTTCAAAGCTTGACAGCAAAGTAAACAAGCCCGTGTTGTCAATACTGGTTTTACAAAACTGCACCTTCAGACACCCCTTTCTATTGCACGGATATTGCACCGCGTTGCGAAGCCTTTTATTGTTATTTATTGAGTTTTGACAACCTCTTATACTTTCTGGTACAACCGACTAATAGTGTGTTTATAAAACAACAACAACAACAACAAAAGTGTAGTGTCTCAGCTGTACTGAAGAACTTGAGCTCTTAATTCGCGACCACGAATGAGCCTCCGACGTTCGGGTGAACTGCAAATATTTACATACTGTTCGTCTCCACGCCGTTTACAGTATGTCTAAGAAACAGTACGCAAGGTTTGTTTTTCAGCTGACAACATTTCTGATGTAAGTATTTGTTCTGGTTACTCGTTTGGACTTCTAACGTAATACACAATTGCTGCTCAAAAATACTCCTTAACCTTGTCTGTGCTTAAAAAGAATTCCAGTTAAGTGGAATTGTGTATTAGGGCTCATTATCTAATAACAAAAATGACAGCATACCTTTAACACACATACATGTTTTGTTTTCCTTGTTTTCCGTTTCCTCTTCAGTGAGGGCAGAGCAGGAAGAAGTAGCAGTCTAAGAACATATTTACAGATCTAACATCTGGAGCATTAGACAGGTCCACAGCTCAAACCACAAACCCCAACAGACAACAGTGTTTGTAGTACAACTGAGTTTTCGCTTCTTGCACAATTTCATAACCGTTTCCCGTTTTTGGAAGCCAAGAGCTCTTAAGGGAGGCTGGGGGCACGAGGTGAAAGCTTATTCACACCACAACACTTGCATGTGCAGATGTGAAAAAAAATAAATAAATAGAAAAATTAAAAAAATGAATAAAGTCGGAGCAACGAAAATTAGACCTTGACGAACAACTTGAAGGAAACCCTTGAAAACACAATGTTTGGATAGTTAAATTGAAAAAAAAAAAAAAATCATATTGAATTACATTTTTTTTAACATTCATGCACAAACTCTCTCTTCATTTAGTCTCCCTTGCTTAATTGTGTAACTGAAGTGGGGCATCAGAAGCTCTCTTGTGTAACTGAAGTGGGGCATCAGAAGAAGGTGAGAAGTTTTTTTCTTATTCAAATTTGTATTAAATATAAAACGTCTCAGTACCAAAACACGAACCAACAAAATTTTGTAAATGATTACAAAATAGAATATTTCATTTTTAAGTGTCAGTACTTCATATCTATTCACTTACTTTCATAAAATATACAGAATTAAAAACTACGGAGCAGCATCTTATGAAATCTAAAATTCCAACTGTTATATTTTTGATAACTGTGACTTACTGTGGAGGTATTGAATGTACTGCAATTACCTGTAGGGTCAAAGTGGGCGGGGTCCCCCGTTTGTTTGTAAGGGTTGAACTTGGGCTTAGGTGCAACCATGGGGGCAAATTTCTTAGGCGCCTGCTGTTGGGAGATGGAGATGCTGGCACTGCCTAAAGTTGGTGTGGTCTCCATCCTGACAGCCACCTGTCCTGTCTGGTCATTATTGTTGGCGGGATTCCACATGGTTCTGGTGAAGAGAAGAAGAGAAGAAGAAGATATATTTAGACATTTTTAATATATATATACATATATATTTTTTCATTATTTCTGTATGTTACACACGACTAAAAGGGCTCTTTGAGAGCAGTATTCGTAAAAGCAGTCGCGTAACATGTCGCCAATATGTTACAAACTATTCGTAAAAGCAGTCAACACCGTTATAATGTGAATGAAACCTGGTCAATGATGCAAGACGCTTTGACACATTTATCCAACATTTTCAAGTAAAACCTGTTAAAGAAAAAAAAAAAAGAATCAAATTAGAGGATGTGGGACAACGGCTAACTCTGAATCGATTCGTCATAAAGTCGAACGTTGTAAAGCTTGTACAGGGGGTCCTTGACTTGCGTTGGAATTCCGCTCCTACGGCACAACGTAACTCGATTTTCACAACTGTAAGTTAGAACTCACGTACTGTACATAAATACAAATCTTAATCTGCACTAACGCAGTAGTAACATCATAATCCAGGCAGTAACAGGCAGTCAGAAGAGGCAGGTGAAGCAGTGCGCTGTGACAAGTAAAATAATAAAGAGAAAATCAATTTGTCCACGTGACTGTTCTATAAATTTGCTTTCTGAATGAGTTCAAAATTTCAGTGGTCAGAATTGCCGTATTTGTTGTTTAAATACATGGGAGAAAGGTGAGGTGCTGCAGCGATGAGGGCTATACCTCACTTCTGACATTGCTGTGCCACACACACACTGACTGAAACACACAGTTGGCGTAACATGTCGCCAATATGTTACAA